TGCTTCCCTGAAGCCCCGTGCTTCCCTGAAGCCCCGTGCTGACCGAACCTGACAGCACCTCGTTAATTAGCTGCATAAATATGCCTAGGGCCCCTTTCAATCCGAATGGGAGAACTCTATATATAAAATGTCCCAAAGGACACCAGAACGCCATTTTCCACTCATCCCCCTCCTTTATTCACACTCAGAAGTACGCATCTGTCAGATCCAGCTTGGTAAAAATCTTTCCCTTTGCCAGGTGAGACAACAAGTCCTTCATTAAGGGAAGTGGTACTTGTTTTCTTTACATATGGCATTCAGCCCCCGATAGTCAGAACATAAGTGTACAGTCCCATCCTTCTCTCTAAACAACACTGGCGCCGCTGGGGGGGTTTCATGGGTTCTATGAAACCGCAGCTTAAATTCTTATCAATGAACTCTCTCAGCACTGCCATTTCCTTTTGAGTCATTGAGTACATTTTTGGGGTCGCTCCTGGCTCTTTTACTTCACTCCTGGCTCGAGTTCAATTGCACAGTCAGTGGGATGGTGCGGTGGCAGTTGGTCTGACTCGGCCTCGCTGAATACCTTCACCAAGTCTATATTGCTCAGGAATTTCCGCAGCCCCTCCCGGTTGAGGTCCTGGCTCCTGGTGCTGTCTGTCTATGGCTGCCAGCCCCAACTCCACTACGTGGTGGGGTTCCACTTTCTCGACCTCCCGCACACTATCTGGGAAGGTCAGGGTCTTAGCACACCAATCCATACATGGGTTCCACAACTCTAGCCAGGACATTCCCAAAATGAGGGGGTAACTCTCAAGTGGTGCCACCAGGCACTTTAAAGTTTCCTGGTGTGTTCTGACTCTTAACTCAAAAGCTTCTGTGTAATAGCACACCACACTGCCCCCCACTGCAGTTCCATCTACTTGCCTGAATATTATGGGCATTTTTAGCCAGTGCACTTTCAGTTTTAATCTGGTGGCTGGAACAGGGCTGATTAAGCACCGGGAACACCCTGAATTAATTAAGGCGGTGAGCTTTGTACGACAAGGCAATCAATTTGCTCAGTTTTCATTTGTCGGCTGCCATTGGATTTACCCGGATGTCTCCAATCGATTCGCTCAGGTTTTGTTGATCACACCTCAGCTTTCCCGCCTGCTCTCGGGTGCGTTTTAGAGCAGGCAGCTTGCGTTTCCCACTGATCATTCTTCTTCTTTGCTGTCCAACAGGTATTGAATAGGGCACTCCTCCTCTTCCCCCCCCCCCCGCCGCCGTGCCTTTCCTCGCCGATTTCGCAGGCTTTGTGTTTTTTTCTGTGGGTTTGGGTTTTGCTGCAGCTTTTAGGGTAGGCTTCTTGGGACAAACGGAGGCGAAGTGCCCCTCCTCGCCACACAGGAAACACGTTCTCCCCACTGCTCTTGCCCCTGCAGATGGTTTTATTACCCTCGCCACTAGATTCACTGCTTGTGGCCGGGCAGCGCTTGGTGCCTTCCGTTGCGGCTCCGGCGCTTGCGTTTTAACTTTAGCCAGTTGCATCTCCAGCATGGAGATGTGGGTGATCCATCCCATTGGATTTACCCGGATGTCTCCAATTGATTCGCTCAGGTTTTGTTGATCACGCCTTGGCTTTCCCACCTGCTGGGCTTTCCCACATTTTGCATTTGTGCCTGTGCCTAAGGAGCCCAAGCTGAAAAAAAAATAGTGCTTTCCTGTTTATTCAGATGTTTCAGTCTGCAGAGATTCCCATGTTCCAGTGAGGTTCGTAACTATAAATTCTGAGTAAACATGGATAAGAGCTCATCTGCCTAACATTGACTTCCACAAGTAAGTTTTATTTTATCAGTTATGTCTATTCTACTAACAGAGGATCAGAAGAGAAGGAGGCTTATCCTTTGTTTTGCTGAAAAGTACAAGTAGTTTTCCATTTTTCAGGTTCAGTATGTGATTATATTAGTATTTTATTACTTTATCAATATATTTTATATATTTTATTAATATAAAATACTAATATAATCACATACTAAACCTGAAAAATGGAAAACTACTTGTAATATGAAAATTTTACATATTAAAGTATTAATGTCATAGATGGTATCCCAGGAACCAAGACTGATTGGATTAATATGACCAAGCTCAGAAACTTTCATACTTGAAGAGGGCAGTCTAATGTATGGCTTCTCTTGCCCTTTGTGGATGGATTCCAAGACTAGGTCCTTCTAAAGTCAGGAATTCCAGGCCATGAGAACTTCATCCCCTGAAGAGAAGCATGAGAAGGACAGGCAAGCAAGTCTGGGGATTCTGCCATACTCTAAGCAAGTATTGTGTGCAATGAATGTGCTTTTGTTTTTGTGAAATGACAAACAGGAAAGACCAGAGGCAGTGCTCCGTATTTCTGTCCTGCCAGTTTGCATCTGATACAGATACTGGGTTTGTTGGAGAGCTTTGAGCAGGGTTTAGAACTGCCCTGCTGACATTAATTAGCTCCCATTCCTGACTTGGCTTTAAATGTATTTCAACATTTAAATTGCTGACTTACAAGTTAGGCAATAGTGACTAAAATATCTCCAGAGGAGCAGAGACAACACTATCAGCAAAGAGTGAAGGACTGGCAATGAACCTGGTCTAATGGAACCTCTCCAGATAAAGAGAGGACAAGAGATCATCCACTTGTGCTCCAGACGGCTGTTTCTCATGAGACTGCAGGACAGCAATTGATCTGTGGGTCTGAGTACTGGGAGACGAGGGAAGCCATCAAGCTTTAAGGACACTGGGTTCATCACCTCCCTTTCTAAATAGATTTTTAGTTAGCTAGAGCCTCCCTTTCTAAACACATTTGGATTCACAACTTCCTCGTGAGATGGGCGATATCTAAATTCGAAATATAAATAAGTAAATAAATTTATAATAAATTATAATAAATAAATTTACAATTATTTCAGTTAAAAGAGGTCTTCCGAGCAACAAGTTTGAAAAACGACCTTCATCCCAAATAGAAAAAAAAA